GACTACAACACGCATTAGTTGCGAACAGACTTCGACAATACTAGAGTTCGATCCAACATCTCACAAATCTCCACCTTGGATCTAACTCTATAACATCAAGAAACTAGCTTTCTTCATGTAACTTTATTAACTGCATACAGTGGAAAAACTTACAACTGGGTAACGTCTTGGTGATCATATCAGCAACATTATGATATGTTGAAACCTTCAGCACTTGGACTTCTCCATGCTCGATTACCCCTTTGATGAAATGCAGCCTCGCATCAATGTGCTTGGTTCGCTCATGATAGGCTGAATTCTTCGACAGGTGTATTGCACTTTGACTATCATACTTAACAGTGATAACTCGACCTTGAAGTTTTAACTCATTTGCAAAACCTTCAAGCCACAATGCTTCTTTCACAGCTTCAGTTAGGGCAATATACTCCGCTTCAGTGGTTGATAAGGCAACGACCTTCTGAAGTGTTGCTTTCCAACTGATTGTTGTCCCAAACATAGTGAACACATATCCAGAGATAGATTTTCTAGAATCCATACAACCTGCATAATCAGAGTCGGCATATCCTTCGATTGCTGCTTTACTATCTTCACCCAAGGCTCCACCATAAATTAGGACTCTATTCATAGACCCATTTATGTACCTTAAAATCCATTTACAACTGACTAACCTGGCTCCATCAGGTTTCTTGATCAGTTCCCAGGTGTTGTTATCATGAAGAGATTTCATCTCATCATTCATGGCCTTCAGCCATTCAGTCTTCTTTCGACTCCTCATAACTTCCTTATAGTCTCTAGGTTCTTCATCTAGAACCTCACTATCAGAGATTAAGGCATAAGCTATAAGATCTGCATACCCAAGTCTCTGAGGTGGCTTGATGACTCTCCTCGACCTGTCTCTTGCTAGCAGGTAGTCATTATCAGTCTCCTCATCTTCGACAGCATCTTCTGCATCTTCTTCGACTTCATCTGGAATACGCAATTCAACATCAACATGCTCCACCTCAACAGGAATTTCTCCCTGTTCCAGCTCTTCGTCAGCATCATTAGTTTTCTTGAAAGCCATCTCTGCTTCATTGAAAACTACATCTCGACTGGTGATACACCTCTTGTGACCTGGCTCTAGGCACCATAACCTATAAGCTTTGACTCCTTCAGGGTATCCCATGAACATGCATTTCAGAGCTCTAGGTTTGACCTTGTCTTGCCTAATATGAGCATAGGCCACACATCCAAATACTCTCAGTTTGTCGAGACTAGGTGGATGTCCCGACCAAACTTCTTCAGGTGTCTTCATTCCCAAGGCAGTCGAGGGACATCTATTTATCAGGTAAGCTGTTGTCGAAACAGCTTCCGTCCAAAACACCTTCTTCAATCCAGCACTAACCATCATGCATCTAACCCTTTCAAGGATTGTTCGATTGAATCTCTCAGCTAAGCCATTTTGTTGAGGAGTACCTGCTACAGTCTTATACCTTGCAATCCCAGACTCAACACAGTAACTGTTGAACGCTTCATTGCAGAATTCAAGGCCATTGTCGGTTCTCAACCTCTTAACCTTTCTGCCAGTTTGAGTTTCGACCAGAATCTTCCAACTTTTGAAATTCTCAAAAGTTTCATCCTTCGTCTTCTGAATGAATACCCATAGCTTCCTGGAATAGTCATCAACGATGGATAGAAAATACCTTGCACCTGAGTGTGAGGGATTCCTTGTAGGCCCCCAAAGATCAGCATGAATGTAATCCAGGGATCCATGTGTTCTTCGCTTGCCTTTGTTAAACTTCGCCTTACAGGATTTACCAAATACACAAGATTCACAAAATTCCAACTTTTCGACTTTGTCACCTCCTAGCAGGTTTTGCTTCCCCAATTCGACCAGGCCTCTTTCGCTGACATGGCCCAATCTCATGTGCCATAATTATGTCTTTGACATAAGTTTCGTGGATGCAACATTTGTCGAACCACTTACAACCTTAGCCTCAAGGGTATACAAGCCTTGTTTCTTCACGCCTCTCAAGACTTCCTTCGACCCCTTCATGAATCTTAGGATACTTGTCTGTCCTTGAAAAACGTATCCTTTTTTGTCGAATTCACCAAGAGAAATCAAATTTCTCTTCAAGTCAGGTACGTACCTGACTTCAGTCAATAACCTTATTGACTCATCATGGAGCTTGAATCTCACAGATCCAATACCTGCAATTTTGCAAGATTTGTTGTTTCCCAGCAGCACAGATCCACCATCTTGATCACATAGCTCCTCAAACAATTCTCTGTTTGGAGTCATGTGCCAAGTGCAACCTGAATTCATAATCCACTCTTTCCTCGAGTCGCCACTTGAAACCACAAGAACATCAGATGAGTCGAAGTCATCTTGAACAATGGTTGCATTGCCATTACCTCTATGATCTTTCAGGCGTTCAGGGCACATCTTTCTTATGTGGCTCTCCTTCTTACAGTGATATCATTGAATACTAGATGTTTCGCCACTATAAGACTTCTGTTGACTTTTACCTTTCTTCTTGTCGAACTTGCCATCCTTTTGCAAGAATTTTCCCTTAACGGCCAAACCTTCGCCCACCGTCGAAGGTTTATGCTCCTTTCGTTCGTTCAAGTCCTTAGAATATAAGGATGATTGAACTTCTTCAAAGGTCAGGGACTCCCTTCCATACAAGAGAGTTTCTTTGAAGTGAGCATGTGTTCTGGGCAAAGCACACAGCAGCAACAGTGCTTGATCTTCATCGTCGATCTTCACATCAATATTTTCAAGATCAAGAATCAGCTTGTTGAACATATCCAAGTGCTCAGCCAACACTTTGTCTCCACTCATCTTGAATGAATATAAAGCTTGCTTCAGGTAGAGTCGATTCACCAGAGATTTGGTCATGTACAAACTTTCAAGTTTCACCTATAATCCTGATGTTGTAGTCTCCTTTGATACCTGTCGAAGAACCTTATCACCAAGGCTCAACAATATTGCGCTGTGGGCTTTCTCGATCATGCTCGTCTTTTCTTTTGCCGTTAACGCAACGTCCATGGCTGCCTCACCCTTCAACGCTTCCAAACAACTCTGCTGAACCAATAGGGCTTTCATATTCAAGCGCCACAGACCGAAGTCGTTCACTCCGGTGAACTTTTCAATCTCATACTTTGTTGAAGGCATCTTCTCCATGCTCACCGCACCAATTTGTTGTGAATCGGATACCTTTAAACAAAGTATAAATGGTTTCTTAATGATCAAGAAACACACAAGGGTTAGGGTTAACAAAGAAGACAAGGTAAAATAACAAGGAACAACAAGGATTGGTTATTAAACTGCTATTCTTTCCTTTCTCTTAGAACAAGATTACAAGTATACAAGAATAACAAGATAATCTCTCTCCCTTGAAATTAGGATTTTATCTTCCTATTTTTCCTTATGCCAAGATTGAGAAACTAGCATCCTATTTATAATAAAATAGCACACTAACCTAATGGGCTTTTTAACAATTACCTATTACAAGCTAACTTAGGGTACAAGCTAACTTAAACAATTGGGCTTACAAGCAAGGCCCAATTCAACATGCTAACAACCCTAGCAATATTGACTAATGCATGTTAGAACAAACTTCGACTACAACACGCATTACTTGCGAACAGACTTCGACAACACTAGAGTTCGATCCAACATCTCACAAATGACAATTCTTAATGAAGTGGCTCTTAATATGGCTAAGAATGATGAACTTGTTTGGGTAGAATGTTTAGGGAATACCTTCACAATCCAATCACGCTATAAAAAACTTATACATGAAGATGAAAGAGGAGTGATCGTTGACAATACTAAAGAGGCCATGAAAGTAATGTGGGAGACAAAAGTTCCTTTAAAGATTAAGATATTTTGCTAGAGATTACTACTTGACAGATTACTTACGAGAGCTCAATTGATTAGGAGAACATTTATTCCTGTTGAGGAAGAAAATTGATGTACCTTTTGTTCTATGCAGGAGAAGCTAGAACATCATACATTTATTGTTTCTCTATCCTAAATCTATTTCAATTTGAAAGCAAGTTTAAATCTGACTTGGACCATCAGAGGTGATCGAGAATGACACCTCTGAGCATTTCATGAAACATTTAACAAGCTTAAGGGTTTAAGTGCAAAGCATTCGAAGAAGGTAGTATGAATGACAATATTAGGGATTTTGTTTTCAACAGGCTCAAGGGTTTAAGTGCAAAGCATTCGGAGAAGGTAGTATGGATGACAACATTAGGGACCCTTGGGGGGTGGATGGGGGGCTCAAGGGTTTAACTTCAAAGCATTTGGAGGAGGTAGTATGGATGGCAACATTAGGGACCCTTGGGGGGAGGGGGTGGTTGTTCATTATTGTGTAGAAAGTGAAGTGACTTGGTTGTGCAAAGCATTCGGAAAAGGTAGTATTGATAACAACATTAGGGACCCTTGAGGGGTGGGTGAGGGGCTCAAGGGTTTAAGTGCAAAGCATTCGGTGAAGCGACTTGGTTATGCAAAGCATTCGAAGAAGGTAGTATGGATGACATTAAGGACTGGGGGGGCAACATTAGGAACTCGGGGTGTGGGTGTGTGTGTGTGTCGGGTGGGGGTGGGGGTGTAGAAAGTGAAGTGACTTGGTTGTAGTTAGTTATTGATTTAAAAGTTAGAAGTAGATGTTCATTATATAATGGGTGTAAATGCCCTCTAGAGTTCCTTAAATGGAATTTTCTTGAATGTGTGCAAGAGTACCCTTATATTCTATATTAATCAAATTTGCTTATAAAAATAAAAAACTTGTGTTATTTTTAGCTTTATAAAAAAAACATTAAATAAATATTACTATTATTGAATAAAAGATATACAGTTAATATTCACTAATAATTTATCATAAAAAAATATTAGCTAAAAAAAAACACGGGAAGCAACAAAGAAGCTTATAAATATATGGACTTGGTTCCACTATTATGCACAAAAACCTCTGTCTCTTCTTCTACACCTTTTTGTTGGCATAAAAATGGCTTCCAGACCAGGCATACTCACTGACTGGCCATGGACACCTCTTGGAAGTTTCAAGGTTTTTCATACTTATTATTATTTTCATCATATATTTTCTAATACATACAATCATGCACGATTTAATTCCTTCATATGATTTATCCTAGAAATTAAAATAGTATACATAACTTTGTATAATTGTTGCATATTTGATGCAGTGGGTGATTTTGACACCATTTGTAGCAAACAGCACATACTCTTTCTTGATCAACAGTCCAGAAGAAAAAGACCTAAGCAACTTCCTCATCTTCCCATACATGATGATCAGAATGCTTCATGACCAAATTTGGATCTCTCTTTCTCGTCATCGAACCGCCAAAAACCGAATCGTCGACAAAGGGATCGAGTTCGAACAAGTCGACCGCGAAAGCAACTGGTACATATCAATCACCTAATATTAATATTATTACTTCAAAATATATCTATACATATACTATAGCTTATGAAAATAATATTTTTCATATATATAATATTTTTGCAGGGATGATCAAATATTATTCAATGCATTGATATTTTATATTGGACAAATGTTGGTACCAGAATCACGTAAATTGCCAATATGGAGAACTGATGGTGTGGTTATGACAATTCTTCTACATACTGGACCAGTGGAGTTTCTATATTATTGGTTGCATAGAGCACTTCATCATCATTATCTTTACTCTAGATACCACTCTCATCATCATTCTTCCATTGTTACAGAACCAATAACTTGTGAGTAATTTTTTTTTATTTAATTGTTTATTGCCTCATAATTAATATGGAAATAAAGATGAGTAGGTGAAAAATTAATGTGGACATTGGTTGATGAATGATGAAGAAAAAATAAAAATGGTCACTGTTGTGCTAAAAGAGGGAGGAATTAAAATTGGAATCAACATTGGCACTGGTATCTATGAGAGGTAAAAATTTAGAGAAAAATCAATTTTTTTTAAAGTGAGAAAAGAAAAATAATAAATAAATAAAGTCTCATTAACATCTAACAAAAGTAGTGATGATGATGATTCTCTGCAAAATATCAATAACCTTTGAAATTTTTAGTTATTAAAAAATATATACTAAACAAATTAGTCTCTAGTTATATAATTTGGTTTTCTCTGAGTTCATAAAATTAATATTTATAATTACACGCAGAAAATATTTAATTTTTTTTATAAAACATTTACAATTAAAGCTGAAAAATAAAATACCATTAGATATTCATTCTTTTAGATGATATGGTTTTTTAAAGGAAAATATTAGATTCTCAAAAATATTTAATTTTTTCAGTTAATTAGTCTCACAAAAATAAAAAATAAAATTTGTATCTCTTTAACAACAAAATATATTTATATATAATTTGTTTTGTAATACAAAAAAAAAAAGATTAAAAATTTTATTTTTATATGATTTTTAAGAAATATATGAATGATTCTACTGTCTAACAAAAGAATTTTACTTTTAATTCATGCTTTTTAAAATCAAACTTTTAAATTCTTCAACTAACATATTTATTATAATTTATTGTCTCAATTTTAAAGAGATGAATTGAAAGTTTAAAGAAATCAATCAAATACTTTTTGTTTTGTTTTGCATTAAAAACAATCAATTTCCTGTTGGATAAGTTGATAGTTATAAGAAATCACTATCAATTGATAATATCATATATACAAGCATCATGTGACTTTACTTTAAGAAAGTGAAATTCCAAACAAAATATCCAAACCTCAAAAAATTAATTAATTAACTAATTAGTTAATTACATATTATAGGAAAATCATACTAATTATTTAGAATTTATTTTTGCAGCTGTGATACATCCATTTGCAGAACACATAGCATACTTTGTGCTATTTGCAATTCCATTATACACAACAGCAATTACAAAAACAGCATCTATAGCATCCTTTGCTGGTTATCTTGCTTACATTGATTTCATGAATAATTTGGGTCACTGTAATTTTGAGTTCATTCCAAACACCATTTTCACCATCTTTCCCATTCTCAAGTATACCATGTATACACCATCGTAAGTATCTATCTCTTATTAATTCATTTAATCAAATTTGTATTTTTTTTTTTTTTAACTTTATTATTAAATTATTTTTTATTTAATACTTTATATTTATTGCATGCATATGCATACATTGATTAGATATGGTTGGGCAGCAAGTTCTGCCCACTTTTCATGCTTTGGTAACGGTCACTTTGTAATAATGTTGTTGTACACATTTTGCTACTAAAAGATAAACAGATCATAAATGAAGGTGAAAATCTAGGTGAGGGAAACAATAATATAGAAAAATATAATAATTTATTTTTGTATTTATATATATATATATATATATATATATATATATATATATATATATATATATATATATATATATATATATATATATATATATATATATATATATATATATATATATATATATATATGCACGCGCACGCGTAATAAATGTAATAGGTAAAATAGAACAAATCGAATAGTTGATGAAGAAATTTTTATTACATTATTTATTTTCGAAGAAATTTTATGAAATTATTTGTGTTTTATACTATCTTGAAGTCTATTTCCTCCATAACAATTAGTAAGAAAAAGATACAATTATTTTATATTAAAAATACATTTTTTAAAAGTAAAATTAAATAAAAATTACATTTAATTTTCTATCTCTCTAATTTTTCCATGAACAACACCTAATTGAAATTGTTTTTCTGTTTCAATAAAACATATTTCAAAAAAGATAAAAAAATATTAAATTTTTCTTAGCAAGGGTGAAATAGTAACTTTTATTTATAAATCTTTTGAGAGAGTATATTTGATCATAATGAATATTTATTTATTTTCATATTAATCAATATTTAGTTAAGAAATTAAATTAAATTTGTCAATAAATCCCATTAAAAAGAATAGTTTATGAAAACTTATATTATAATAATTTTTTGGCTAAAAATTAATAATTCATTTACGTTAATATATAAATATAAATAAATATAATCAGGATTAAACCCTACTAACCAACAATTTAAACTCATTTTATTCAATTAACTATTTCAATAATTTATGATTATTTTTTGGTTTGAAGACAAGAATTTATGATTTGTTACTACTCTGTGACAGGTTTCACTCACTGCATCATACACAATTTCGAACCAACTATTCCCTCTTTATGCCAATATATGATTACATTTATGGAACTGTCGACAAAGCTTCAGAAACATTATATGAAAAATCATTGAATAAAGAAGATGGTACACCAGATGTTGTGCATTTAACACATCTTACAACACCTGAATCAATCTATCATCTAAGATTGGGATTTTCTTCCTTAGCATCTTCACCTCAATCTTCTGCATGGTACCTTTATTTCATGTGGCCATTCACTTTTTGGTCTGTTCTTGTCACTTGGTTTTATGGTCAAACTTTTGTTCTTGAGAGAAACACTTTTGAAACACTCAATTTGCAATCATGGGTTATTCCAAGATTCCATGTACAAGTAAGATTTCTTTTATAGAATATGTATATTAATTTTCATTTTTCAAAGAGTGAGATTAATGACTATGAATAATTTTATGTAGTATCTTTTCAAATGGCAAAGAGAAACATTGAATAAACTTATAGAAGAAGCAATCCTTCAAGCAGAACTCAGCAAAGTTAAGGTTCTAAGTTTAGGTCTTTCAAATCAGGTGATACTCGATTAAATTTTTTTTTATAAAATTATTTTACACTATCGATGTATACAAATTATTTTATTTAATTATAGCTTATATTTATATTTTCAATGGATGTAGGGAGATTTGTTGAATCGATATGGTGAACTATATATCAAAAGATATCCACAACTTAAGATAAAGATTGTTGATGGAAGTAGCTTGGGTGTGGCTATTGTTCTTAATAGCATTCCAAAAGAAACAAATCAAGTTTTTCTTTGTGGTAGACTTGATAAGGTTTCATATGCCATTGTTAATGCTTTATGTGAAAGGGGTACCGAGGTAACTTTCATTTTATCAATTTTCTAGTATTGAATTTGAGTTATATGCAATTATAGGTTCTCGCATCTACGTATATAACCTGAATTGTTTCGAAATAAGGTGGCTTAATATTGAAGATATTTGATTTCTTCACTTTTTTTTCAGGTTACAACAATGTATAGAGATGATTATGAGAATCTTCTCTTAAGACTCTCGTTAGAGTCCAAAAATAATTTGGTTTTTCCAGGATCCAATTCAGCAAAGGTAAATCTTTGTCTAAGTTCAAACCATTTCATAATCATATCTTTATTTGTTAGAAATTTATACATTAGTGTTTTGGTTTGTGAAAATATATTATGAAAATTGAAGGGTTCATTTGAATTTACAGATATGGCTAGTTGGAGACCAATGTGATGAGGTAGAACAAAAAAAGGCACCAAAAGGAACATTGTTCATACCAATTTCTCAATTCCCTCCAAAGAAACTCCGAAAAGATTGCTTCTATTTTAGCACACCGGCCATGATAACTCCGCCTTCTTTAGCCAATGTCCACTCCTGCGAGGTTAGTATAAATTGCGATGTTTTAAATTGAGGTTTTGAGCATTTATCTAAGAATTTCTATATTATTAATGTGCAACAGAATTGGCTGCCAAGACGAGTGATGAGTGCATGGCGTATTGCCGGAATATTGCATGCCTTAGAAGGTTGGGATGTTCATGAATGTGGAGAAGTCATGTTTAGCACTGAGAAGATATGGCAAGCAAGTCTTCAGCATGGATTTAGGCCATTGAAGATTAATCATCCTCTTGCTTGAGTTATAAGCTATTATAAGCATATATTAAATGAGCATATCTATATATATATATATATATCTAAGTTATATATTGATCAACATGTTTGTGGTATTATTAGCAAGATATAGCTATTGTGAAATTGGATTGCTACAATTAAGACATTGTATTTGTACTAGCCTTTGTGGCGTGTGATGATATATATAATAGAAAATATCTTTAAGTAGTACATATTGCTTAGTGATCATTTTGAAATTATTTGGTTTTGAAAAATAAAAAGCATAGACATTTTATGTATGAAAAGTCTTTAATGTAATTTATGTGCATGAGTAATAATGAATGTGTTTGTAATAGAATAAAAGTCTAGTTGGATTAATTTCTAGTAATTTTAACCTATGAAACATTGACATCTCTATAATTATGCATATTTTAGTGTCCGTGTTTATGTACCCATAGTTTTTTTGGAGTTAGTTTTAACAGGCTTCTTCTTATTTTGTACTTTAGCTCTTATATAGTAAAATTTATGATCATTCTAGACTTTTAATTTAAAAGTTTGTTGTCTTGAATGTATCTTGGCCATTGGTTCCGAACCTTTCAAAACATTATATCCTGATATCTTAGATTTTGATTTCTTCAGAACCTTTGACTTTAGAGTTTTAGGTTATGGTTTCTTCAGAATCTTTGACACAATATTTTAGGTTCTGACTAGTTTAGAACCTTTGCTTTGTCAATAGCAGGTACAAAATAGGAATCTAACCCTTTTTTAGCAGAGTTTGAAGAAGAAGGTTTTGTTGGTTTAATCAAGGTTACAGATCTTGGATTAAAAGGTTTTTAAGAATAACTAAGAAATTCTCTTTTGCTTCTACTTCCACCAAAAAATTTGGATGAAAGTTTTGTTTTGTTAAAGCCAAATATGATAAACTCCAAAAGAGTCATCTCATGCTCATCAAGGGGTTTGTCAGACATTTCTTTTACTAGAGCAATGTGATCTCTTTCTAATGAATCATTTTTGTTTTGAGAAGATTTTAATTCATCTCTCAATATATCATATTGCTTTTTCAAGATTTTCATATGTCTGACTTTTTCTTGACACTGATCCATAAGGTCTTGAATAAAACTAATCAAATCATAATGAGATGGTTTAGAAAATACATGATCCTCTTCTTCAGAATCTGAACTAGAATCTGAGTTAGATTCTGTGTCTGGAGATGTAAGATCCATAAAAGCTAGATTGGCTTCTTTTTCATCTGTTTTTGATTCATCTTCTTTGTCAAGTTCATCCCATGAGACTCTTCTTGAACTTTTTTTTAAGCTATTCTTCTGATAGCTTCCTTTCTTTGAATTGTCCTTTTGCAACTCTGGACATTCAGCAATGAAGTGACCATGCTTCTTGCAGTTGAAACACTCATTTTGATCATCTTTCTTGTCTCTTGAACTTGATCCTCTGAAACCACATCTTTCTGAGAATCTTTTGTTCTTCTTTTCCAGATATTGGAATCTTTTGATAATAAAGGTCATATCCTCATCATCTGAATCTTCTTCAGAACCTTCTACATGAGAATTTTCTTCAGACTCCTAGACTTGAGGAGCCTTAGCAGATTTAGCAAAAGATTTCAAAACTGTATACTTTGACTTCACTACAGGTTCATCTTCATTGAGCTCCATTTCATGGATCTGGAGGTTGCTTATAAGGCTTTCAAGGCTTAATGTGTTTAAGTCTTTGGCTTCTTCGATAGTTGTCATGTAACACCATTTTCTACCCTACAAAATAAAAGGCAAAATATTCACATTTATCAGAGTAAAATATTAAATCCAATAAAAATCACCTCAAAGGGCGTACATTTCCCAACAAATCAAATATAAGTCAAAGCTCCGTAAGCAACGGGTTTTCTCAAAGATATCAAAAATTGCAGCGAAACTCAAAAAGGCATAATCCAAAGTTTTCCTTATACGGGAACATAATCAAAATAAACAAATCAAATAAAATAAGGTTTGACTCAAGGACCCCAACCCGATGTTACACTATCAGAGCATGACCCTATAAGTCAACCACAATGGCCAACGACCCAAAACTTCAAAAGTCCTCGACGGCGTCCACGGCTAAACCTGGTCATCTGCATGTTACCCACGTGGAGGCAACATTCAAACAGGCAGGGTGAGTAAAACGATTCATAATAATCAATGTAGAAAATCAATATATAAAATGGCGTCATTTTCATATCCAACATCATCATATTCATCAATGGACATCAAAGGCCACAACATCATAAATTACTCAAGATCATCTCATAAATGCAAATGCAACAAGACTCATGCACATGGTACCAATCATCATAGCTCGATGGACACTGGGCCATCAACCCTCCATAGATCCCCATCAATAGGATCGATTCTACTCGAGAACCGGAGCACATCAAAATACCTCACATCCGCACAATGGGACTGAAGCCAAATAAATCGAGGTCCAGAACCGAAGTCCGGATGCACGTGAATGAATGATGCACACGTCAATAATCATCCTCATAATAACATCATAGGTGCATCATCATTTATCATAATCATCATCATCAAAAATCATGTCATCATAGAATCATCAAAAGTCATGGAAATATTATCATAGTTCATCAATCATTACATCATAGAAATCATCATATAATCATGTACAAGTCACATAGAATTCACAGTTATACTCATATTAATTCGTCAACAAAATCACAGCATCAAAACATTAAGGCATTGCTGCACAAGGTCAGATTTTGCAAAACTCTACTACGTTCGCTAGCAAGTTCGTTGTGCGAGTCTGGGGCGAGTTCCTTCGTTGTGCGAAGGATTCTTCGCAGTGCGAGTCTGGGACGAGTTCATTTGCTGTGCGAACACGCGGTTACAGCAAAACAATGTTACACACCAGAACCTAAAATCAACCCAAAGGTCCCACGATTTCCTTCCCCAATGCCCCTAAAATATCCCTAAATCATCCCTAAGGTCTTACGGCGATAAAGGCACAAAATCTACGACTTATTAGGCCAATCCCGTATCATATTCACGCTCTAATTCTCATATATTCTTACAACTACACCACAGTCATTAGAGTTCCTCACTATCTAATTTCTCTACAGGGTTAAACAAATGTCAAACCAGATCTTTGGCCACAAAGGCCTAATTTCCTTTAACCCAAATCAGCCTCAAACCCTTTAAACCCTTAAATAGGCTTTAAATACATTAAAATTATACATTGAAAACAATGAAGGAAATACTCTTCATACCTTAATTGTCGACTCTAAGCCTTCTCTTTGACTTTCAAAAAACCTTTCAAAACTTTTGCCTCCAACCTCTTCCTCAGAGCTCTGACCTCAATTTCTTTTCACGGTCTAACAAGAATGAATCCTAATACCATCAAAATTCTTTTTTGTTAAACCTAACCTTGGGCCTTAAAATTGGGCTTTCCAATATTACTCTCACTAACTGTTCTGGCCTGGGCCCCGGCCTCGCCTCGCAGCCCAGCCCAATAATACACGGAATAAAGCCCAATATGGTTTTAGTGAGATGACCGGGCACGTGAACCCTCGACGGGCAGAGTCTGCGCCCATCGAGGAGAACAATGTGCCTTAAGACGCCCTTGCGGCCTCCTCTTCGCGGGAAGACATTTGCCAGTCGTCGTCCCCTCGTCGGGCAGAACAGCCCTCCGCGGGCAGAATCCCCATACCGACGAGCAAGGACAACGTGTCTCTCCCACGCCCTGGGGTGCTCCTCTCCGCAGGGAGAACAACACACCTCCGGGGAACCTCCCGAGCTCCCTTCCGCGGGGAGAGCAACGTGCCCTGCGCACGTTCTCCACGTGCTCCCCTCCGCGGGGACACGTCACCAACCAACTGCCCACCTTCGAAAGAGCAGGTCAAACCCACTTTCCGGAGATCAAGGGACAGTTGGACTAGGGCGAAGACCACGTCCTGGTCTTCACTATGCCACGTAAGCCCTAGCAGTCACCTGGGTTGGGTCTGGCAATCCAGCCCAATGCAAGTGACCGTTGGCCCAGCGCTGGGGTCTCTCTATAAATACCCTCTTTCACAAGAGGGTCAGGTAATTCACTTCTTACCCCTTTTCTGTACTTGTGATCACTCTGCCCATAGCCTTACTTTGGCATCGGAGTGCCTTGCAGGTACACCCCCTCCTCCTTCTCATCATCGATGAACAGGCAGCAGTCCAACAGAGTGTGGCCAACCAGCGATCCCCTTCTGATCAGGGCAGATCACTAATTCTTCCTCAATTGTCCAATTTTCCCTTAATTAACTTGTATTTATTTAAATTAATAATAATACCAATATATTCATATTATATACTATTATTTAAATAAATAACTTAAAATCCATAATTCTCCATATTTCACACCAACCACCGAAAAATACCAAAAATACGAATATTCATATTTAATAAATTAAATAAATATTCCAATAAATTTGGGGTGTTACATGTCACCTTTGGTATGTATCTGAAAAGAAGACTCCTTATAATCTTATTAACATGATCAGAGCTTTTATAGCTTTTGTTCATAACCTGAAGTCCATACACTAGAACTTGAAACCTTGAGAACATGGTTTCAATATCCTCATCTTCCTTCATTTTGAACAGTTCATATTGATGCCTCAAACCCTTATGTTTGATTCTTGAGTCTATTATATTGTTTTATTTGAAACCTTGTAGAATGTCATATGTCTTGTATAAGGCGAATTCATAATAAATGTGCAGGTTTCTCTTTTGTGCCCTTTTTCCATATTGATGCATTGTTGTTGTATGAGGCATAGTAATTATGCCTTGTGACAAAATTATAAAAATTGGGTTATGGCATGTTATTTATTTGTGGCTTTTGATTTGTGTTGTTAAGCAAAAATATAAAAAAGCCAATAAAAAAATTCCAAATGGCATTTTTTCCAAAAACTCAAATTAACCAAAAAAGTCTGAAAATTGGAAAGTTCGAGAATCGGGAGAGGGGGAAGCCATGTCTAGTCGGCGACGGAGGGAGTCTACAACATCGAGAACGCGTGTGACACAAGGTTGTATCGGCGCCAGAGCATGCGCAACACAAGGCCGCAGCGACGTGGCGCAATTGTGCGGGAAGAGGGGTTGCGACTCACCGGCCAGACCACGGTCAGCGTAGCGCTCGCGAGGCGAAAGCCACTGGAGCACATTAGGTAGGTGTGAGCGGGTGGGTCGGTGGAGGGTTGATTTGACACGCGGAGGCACGCGGGAGGACCGACGATCTGCTAACAGCAGGTTAGCGTTTTGGGTTTGTTGTCCATTTCAGCGAGTTTTTGAGAAATTTTGTGTTTAGTGACCTTTCGTTGCCTTTTTGATAATTTTAAGAATCAGATTTATTACATTAGAGTTGTTAGAGTTGTTATAGAGTTGTCAGAGTTTCTTTTGAGTTGTTTAGAGTTGGAGTTGAGAGTATATCATACACTTGAGTTGAGTTTGAAGCCTTTTGAAATTATAATGATGCTTTTTTAGTTATATTTTTATTTGTTTAAGACTGTCAAGTCAAAAAGGTTAAGATTTAAGTTGTTAGAGGTAAATTTGAGTAATCTGGTAAGTTCAGAGTTGTTTTGATAAGGCTGGAGTTTGCATGTGAGTAATTGTTTTCTTACCATGTTGGTGGTCTTACATGAGTAATAGTTTTGCTTTCTTGAAAAGTATGTTTGAATATTATATGATTATGTAATTGAGCTATTATATGAGTAATAGTTTTCCTTGCTTCATATATGAATAGATCGTGTTGCTAGACATGTATGGGAAAGAGAGGTATATTCATTTATTTTTGCATTCATATACGTCATCTTTCCATCTTCCTTTTGGCGATATGTCTATCACCCTGGATGACGTTTTATGCCTCTTACATCTTCCCATCAAGGAAAAATTACTAGACCACGGAAGGCTCAATCGAGAAGAAGCCAGCGAGATAATGGTTAAGCATTTGGGAGTTGACCCAACTAATGTCACAAATTGGCACCATGTGTGTTCGTCCTAGATTTAAATTCTTGGAAGAACTTCATAAAGACCACCTGCAAATGGCCCTGGATGCCAAAGGAGATGATATGCAGGTTGAGTACCATCGGTAGTGTGCATTGAGGTGCTACATATTGTTCCTAGTTGGCATGTTCATGTTTGTGGACAAAATGCAACATACGTCGATGTGATCTACCTTAAACACTTCATCGACTTAACGGTGATTCACAAATACAACAAGGGGACACTTGTTTGGTCTACATGTACTCGAAATTTTTCTGTTAAATTTTGAATCCGTTCGAAATTAAATTTGAAAAGATGAACCCGTTCAAAAATTTTGAACAGATATCCCTTTTCGTTTTCTATTAATTAATCTCCTATATAAGGAGTCATTTGGCCTCAGTTTTACACACTGAACAAAATTCATATTCTCTCTACATTCTTGATCTGTTTTCCATTGCCAGAAACAGATTGTTCTTCAAAGAATTATCCCCACAAAGATTTCGTGATCCCAGGCAAATAATAGGGTCGAAATACTTTGTTCGGAAAGTATACGAACACGATTCCTCGAAGATATCCAAGATTATCACACCAAATTTCCAACAGTATTGTGGATATGGGAAGGTCGGGCATATAAGTTGGACTTTTTTAGAAAGGTAGTCCCTAGTTGACCATCATAAAAGGAATTATTGTCGAAGCACATAATGTCTTTGCAGTACATACGAAGAAGTCGGAGGGTTAGGCATACTCAATTGTTTATGTTTGTTTGTATTATATTTTATATTTTCATAATAATTTATGTATGGTTGATACATTTTGAATTTTGTTTAATTAATGTTTCATTTTTTTATGTGTAATATGTTTGAATCAATAAATATGAGTTTTTTTATTTATGACCTAAAATATAAGTGGGTCTCTAAAATATCAATGTTAGGACCTACATAGAATACATTCACATGGCCAAAAAACGCGTTGTCAATAACTTAAACTGAATTCAAATAGTTTTACAAAACTGCATCTTCATATTCACTCCGAAGAGGTCCAAATATATATCTACAAATTAAATTTTTGCAAATATGGGATGGGTTGGTTGAAATAATTTTAAATTTGTTCGAATATAACAAGAACATTTTTAAATTTTCAAATGTGTTAGGACGCACTGTATCGAGGGGATAAATATTCCCCCTTTTCTTTTCCTTGTCATACTCTCCTCAAGTCTTTAGAACCCACTAAAGTGTCACCCTCTATTGGTGTTCATCCAAAATGTCAACAACCAATTTTAAGCCACCACCCAACTAATACACTTCAACCTTTAATTGAAGATTTAACCACTAAAACAAACATTCATAAAATCTACACACACAAAATTAACGTTACAAAAATATAGGAACAAAATCAAGAACATGAACGATGGGACATAAATCACCCCAGTAACAAAGGCAAATAAGAAAAGCTGAAAACATGAAGAAATGTTAAGACCTATATAGAAAATGCCAGAATTAACAAATAGTCTGACTTCTGGTATGCTACAAATGAATCATTCTGACATCTAGCTAGCTGCTATTATGCAAGAGTTTTGTACAAGAAGGATGAAGTTTGAGGTGTGCTAAGACAGCTAAGATGGTTGGACTGCATACATTTTAGTTTCAGTTTATTTGAAGCTTTGGTTTATTTGAGCTGCAAAAAACAAATCAAGTATCAAAACAAGTTATTTGAGTAAATAATAATCATATTGGTGATCAGGTGATTATAACCAAACAATAAAATTAAGGTACACACTCATAGGATGGTGTTTAATGGATATTGGGTACTTGGAATAGGGCAATAAGAAGACAATTGCAATGATCTGCTATATTACAGAATGGTAACCAGAAAGTATGGAAAACTCCCCAAATTCAGGGATTCCTGCAGCAATATCCATTCCAGTTTTGGGTTTTCTACTAATATCTATATGCACATGTACATGTCCGTATTGGAAAATGTTGAGACTTGAGACTCCACAGCTAGAAAAATGGCCAAAGTATTCCTCATAAGGCTTAAAGTTGGACAATCCTCAACTTTTGAACTAGCTTTTGGAGTTGAGTTAGGCCAAAAGAACAAATTCTAAGAACATCAGAGTCTAACATAGATTTGTAGATATGTTATTTATATTGAGATCTCTATTGTTCTGCCCGCATTGGTCAACACTCTAGACATCTAATTTTAAGCGTGAGGAGGGGAGGTTGATGTATTTCATATAAGGGTTGGACAAATTCTTACATCTTGAGCAACCTTTTGGGGTAACAATAATAACATATACACATAAGTGCATCGATTCTTGGAGTTAGACATATTCTTTAACAGCACATAAAACAGAATCTTGAACTAAGGACAGATATAACAGACAAGGAAGCTTCAAATTCAAGGAACATGTATGCCCCATTGTCATCTATTCACCAATTTTGCCCCAATATCAACGCTAATTACCGTATAAAGTTAGTAATGGATGGAGCTAGTTCAGCTTAAACCAACAACAATCAAGTCTTTTGCCACTAAGTGGAATCAAAAACATTTATCAATTGATGCCAACCAGTTCCTTGTAATCAGGAATGCATAATACCTTCAAGTATGCACCCACATAGGATCCAAAGAGAAAAGTTTCTCACTTCTTGAGCCAGAAGTAGAAGTTCTAGGTGGTGGAGCATGTACAGTAATTGGAAGAACCCATTCAGTTTTTTCCCTTCTTTCAATCAGAAGCGGATGCTCGTACCTGTGGTTCAGAAGCCATTTAAATGTAAATGACAAATTCCTGTAAGAATTATTCTAAATACAATTTCTTCATTTGGAGTGAATATGAGAGGAAGAGGTCAAGAGTGAAACTCATACTTTGTCCAATCCACAAATTTTGGAGTTGTGTAAAACTCGAAGCGGAGAACCCATTGTACAGATACATGTGGAGTGGAGAAGGTCATTGGACCATCCATGGGGACAGAAAAAAGGAAACTTGTCTGGAGCAAATCGGCAACAACCTCGTGATGGTCACTCTGAACCTAAAAACACAATTGAGATCATTTTTTTCAGAATCAGAAGCCAATATTATGTAGAAGCAGACAGACACTACTAGATGAACGGTTCTTTCAAATAATTCAACAAGAGATTTGGCCTTTGAATAGTCCCTGCATGTTGCTTAATAAAAAGGCACCAGTAAACCGCAACGTCATTATTAAAACTGAATATCGCAATGTGGTGACAGTGAGCTTTTATGGCTAAAGCAAATGGTAAGTAGCTTAGTGCGATTATTTAGAAACACTGGTTGATATATAAACAAGTATAAGAGGAAACATAGAGATGTTCAAGCATATTTGTGTTACAAAAATGGAAGATAGTTAGATCAACAGAGGTGGTGGAAGGCCAAAAAAAACTTTCGGACTTCAATCCAAATGGATGCAATGAAATGTTGGTTTTTGGTGCAGTCAATCAATAAAAATTCAAAAGCAGCTTGAGCAGTGTGAGCTAAAAGGACCAGCAGTAACTACCTTCGTGATTGTTGGGGAGTTCCTTCTAGAAGGATGGACGAAGCGTCTATTTATAGTTTCTGAAGTTTCCAATGTTACTGAGATCTGGAAAATTATAATTATAAAAATAAACCCCAGTGCATCATCAATCAAAATAAACTATTTGCCAGCTATTCGTTTAAATCTTCACTGCTAATGAAAGTGCAATAACCTCAAGGCATCTCCTAGCTCCTTCCTCGTGAAAAAAAGTTAGAGTCCCACCTATCTGTATCCATAAAGTTGTCATTTTATTGATTTCTTAATTTGTGCACATTATCCAATTATGCATTAATATATTTACCATGTCGCTGAAGTAATAAGTTGAGTCGGAATTTTTTGGGGAAAATTTAAGCAAAATTTGGTCATCAAGTCTGATGTTATAAGACCTTCCTCTGATGAAGCCTTCTGCTGCAGAAAATGTCTGTACAAAATTAACTAATGCAGAATCTAAAAATAAATGAAGAACAAAATTGATTTGTATCCAAAACAGACAAGTACGTTTCAAAAATAAATAATATGCATCAACTTACATGATAAAGATTCCACAGCTCCAGCTTCCGGTGAAGAGGAGACTTCTGCGTCATCTTCTGCAGAAAATTGCTTCCCGAATTTCTGTTGCTCCATGGCAAATGACTTCTGAGTTGATAGGGCATCTGTTTGCTAAATGAATTATTAATTGGCAAAGTATGATTTTGGATTAAAAGCAAAAGATGACTACTATCAAACAGACACCATTGAACTAACTTGGTAGTGATACAGTTTCAGAACTAAGTTCCTACAAGAAAAAGAGTAGTTTCACAAATAAACACATATATTATCGGCATAGTTTAACTTACCAGCACCAGAATCAGATAATACTTCAGCAACAGACAACCGGGGAAGTGCTATATTTGAAGATAAACTTGTTCGATGACCTTCCAAAGCATCCCTGTTCAATGATCTTGCAGAAGAAGATTGCAATGATAGAGAACTTCCATAGCCTCTGTACATATTTTCTTTCGTGGGATTATATGAAGAAACAGAAGATATATCATCCCTTGAGCTGTCATAATCCTCATCAACACCATCATCAATATCATTTGCTCTAACCTGTAAAGAAAATGTACAGCATGCAGTAAGTAGAAGCTACTTTGAATAAAAGAACAACTCAAACGATGGCCAAAACTGCAACCAGTAGTTATGGATATACACAAGTCCATAAAAAGAATTTGAAAAATAGTACGGTACAGTTTAACCAATAACCAGAACTGAATTCTTTCTTAGAATAGGGAAAATAGGAAAGAGATTTAGAATTAAAAGGAGGAAATGGAGTATAATTAAGGATGAGATCAAATCAAACAAAAAAGGGAAAAGAATAGCAATATCAAAACACAAGTGGAACAAAATGAAATAAGCCACTCCAAATGCAAAGCTTAGTTTACCGGATAAAAGGAGCTAAAATTTTTATAATGAAAAACAAATAGAAGACGTTCTTAAAACAATAGGTGGCAAACAAAGTTAGGCTAAACCACAGATAAGTTTAGTTTACCGAATAAAAAATATCACCAGTAGCATACCCAATCAGCATCTCCGTCCATCTCTTTCCAAAATATATCCAGTTGTACAGTAGTTAAGGGAACAATATCTGAAAAAATAAACACGTGTATATATCACTTACAAATGCAGGGTAAGATGCTTAACACTTTCTGAAGCCACGTCACATAAAATATGTATAGGTGCAAAAGAACATCAAACTTATTATTGATATTTGATTATCTGCAAAGTTTTCTAAGCAATGAACAAATTATCCAATAATACTAGGCACCAACAAAGTTTGTCAAGTCACATATCTCCTAAAGACATATTTTTTTCCTGTATTGTAAACTGTAAAGTTGAATTTGAAAAAATGTCAATACAGCAATACCATCATGTGTAACATAATACAGAAAATATTTATTTATATAATGGTTTTAAATAATGTCTCCTTAGGTTTTCACGTGTCCGTCTTGATGGGACTAATGTGTACTGATCATTTGATCCATTTTTTACACAGGTTTGATAGCACAACCATGTAGTCACCAAAACAATGCCTTTAGACATCAAATTCCCAAGAGTCAATTTCCCTTCATTCTTAAAGAAATAACAATCTTCCCAACTAACAACAGATGTCTCTCTCTCCCACAGCAGACCAATGAAAGTCCCATATAATTTTCAGTCTTTCAAAAATTTCTTCAGTCTTATGTACACTAGAAACCCGTAAAACAAACTTGTTCTCAAACTTTTAGAGCATCGTTGCATATCCTTTACTCGTCTTCAATCAACTTTTGCTTTAAAGCTACAACAATTAGAGTCTTACACACGAGAAAACTTGAAACTACTCCTCTTTGTCCAATTAGTCAAATTCTCCTCTCAAGTTATAATTATACAGAAAACAAACATTTGAACAAATGATTAACCAATTGCTGGTTAATCAATGGCTCTGTGATAAATATTAAATATGAAACAATGACTATGTGATAAATATTAAATATGAAACAATAACTGGCAGCAACAAATTTTTACATTTTAAGGCTAAACAGCAGCAAACAAAAACTAAAATGCCTAAGAGGAAGTATTATCAGCAACATAAGCATCTAGCAGAAATTATATTTGTTCTGCACTAACATTCAAAATTCATAATAAACCTAATTCTTGAAATGGAGTGGTTTTCCTTTTCCAAATACAAAGCACTCATAGTTAAAAGTTTATATAGAAGAACATCTTCAAACTTAATTCTTGATAAAGTTAATACTAATCCTAAGTAGAAAATATCAAGTACGTCTCTAGAGTCAAGTCATACTCTGTTTTAATAGGTTTACATGAGAACTAAAATAAAAATGAAAGTCAGCAACCAAACTAACCATCATCCTTTGGAAAGCCATTGCTTTTCTGGTTTACCCATATTTGTAATGGAATACGAACTTCCTGCAGAATTAAAAGCTATAAGTTAGAAAATAGGCATATTAAAACTTATTATGAGACTAGGAGCCGAAATAACAACTATTAATAGATGTAACCCTTACTGAACATAAAAAACAAAGACTGCAAATTATACCACTGAGCAATCAAACAACAACAACAATCGAGCTTTATTCCACTAAGTAGGCCCAGCTACATGGGTCAAACAACGTCGCAATCAAGAAGGGAAAAAATAAAAATATCCCATAACTAAGCATTCCTTCTAATACAAGGACAACCAAGTCTTATCCACTAAGTGGGGTAAGCTACATAGATCAATTTTCGCCAAAATGTTCTATCAAGGACCTTGCTTCTATCCAAGTCGTTATTTTTGAGATCTTTCTGAATAACTTCTCTTATAGTGTTTTTAGGTCTTCCTCTAGTTGTTTGACTTCTCTTCATCTTACTTACTCTCCTTACACAAAATCCACAGGTTTTCTCTCTACATGTCCAAACCACCTTAGTCCATTTTCCTTTTAATCATGAAAAAAAAAAACAATAGACCACATAATAATAGAAGCATTGAGACTATATTACTATGTCATTAACATATGAACCAACTCTGCATAGTAGTAAAAGTCTAAGCTGAGGTAAAAGCATATGATGGTTTTCATATAATTCAGCATGAAAATAACACGATGCAAAATACATTCCAGTACAGTTGTAATAAGTCATTACAAAACCAACCAAATCGGTAACATCTTTTGTGGGCTCTGTGCGAGACTGCCCATTTTCCAGAATTAACCACCCTCCAGTTATTGTACTTTTAACATAGTACAAATAGCGAATGTTTGAACCCTTGTATGATGGTGGAATAACACTAGGCAGCATTGTTCTCACAACATCTGCAACAAATATCCAAATACAATCTCGTGAGTTATTAAAAAGCCAGTAAATTGGCAACTAGCAAATATCTCATGTTGTCTTGCTGTCTTTTATTTTCAAACATAAATCATTTAGTATAGAACTTGACTTACATGATTTGCTTGCACCGGCATTAATAATCTGGTTTGCTACTAGGATTGGTGTTGAGGAATCTACAAAAACATGTTCACCTGAAACAAAAATGCAAAATTCAACAACAACAATAACACAGTAATGAAACTAAAAATCCTCATCAAAGTGTTAAGAATTTAATTCATCTACACTGCCAACATAAATATTTATGACACCTGTCAATCAATTGTAATCGCCCGATCATTAAAACATTTGAATTCAATCATAGCTACTTTTAAGTCACGCATATATCAAAATTTAATTCAAGTGTTAAATGCTATAAAGCACGGACACAGACACTGATACTGAACACATACACGAACGCCATCACATCGTCACATATAATAATTTGAAAAAATAAATGAATGAATAAATTGAATGTAATCACAAGTGTTAGTATCCGTGTCACACGGACACACTTCTTTTAGAGGTGTCGATGTTCCCGAGGTTAAAACTTAAAAATTAAATTTAAAAAACCACCAAAAGTGACTAATACTCCAAAAGACAATAAGTGCAATGAAATTATGCAAGTACTATTGTTAAAGCAATCAGCAACGAACCTCTTTTTTGCCTTGAACCAGGTAAAGCCTTTTGTGTAACAAACCATTGAGTATCCAATTTCTCAATGCCTCTGATTTCAAAACTGAGTCTTTCCATCAAAAAAGAGTAGGCATTTGAAGGATTCGAGATCTGAATAGTGATAATAACTGGATCACCGGGTCTATAAACTTGTTTATCAGTTTCAAGCTTCAATGTAGGAAGAAGCTCTTCATTCTTTGACGAATTGTTATCCACCGAACGAGAATTTCCGCCTCCGAAAAACGATAGTTTCCCCTTTAGCATTGCTTTTTTGCTTCAACGTTTGAATTTTTGTGCGTTGAATCCCTGTAAAAGCGATTAATTGGTAATCGATTTTGAAAATTATGCAATCATTGAATGAGAATTTGATTTGAAAGGGAATTTAAGGATGGGAAGGAGTTACCGGTAATGATCTGAGTTCTGAGCTGCAGAGTGTTCCTTGTTCTCTGACGGGATCTGATCTGAGTCGCAGAAAAAATCCACTGTCGACAATTAGAGGTAAATATTGTTATTGAATAAGTTTTCAGATAGAAAAAACCAAAATGGGATATTTGGTTTTTTTTTCAAGGGCGATTTGGCCTATTTTTTGTATTTTTGTAAGTAGTTACTCATTTTTATTAACTAATTATGATATTTTTACACAAGTTAGGCATGATGTTAATAAATGTAAACTTTTTCTTGACCACATATATGAAAATTTTATTGAAAAACAAGCATTTAATTAATGATATAACTTGAATTTTGGACAAGATTTTTTTTAAGGCGCTGAGCTTCGACTTTAATTCATTTAATTTAATAATTTGTATATGTTTTTCTTGTTCCACGTGCTTTTTCCAGCGAGAGATCCTCAGTAAATGATTTTTTTAAGTTGGATAACTTGTGAAGCTTCTTATTACATGTGGTTTTATAATCGCTTGGAAAATCTTCATTAAAAGGAAGACGGACGTCACTAAATTTTATAGCATTTTATGTGGGATCATTCCATATGGAGGATTAAGGAGGTGGATTGTTCCTCATTGGCGACGAATGCTCGCCATCCCTATCTGCTTCAGGGATCAGAGTTCTTGTCCTTTGGAGCAAAGGGAACCCTCATCTTGTTTCTGTACTTTAGAGACATATGGTTCATACGATGTGTCACCGTCAACTTGCCTCTTAGTCCCTTTAGGAGGCTGTATAGGTTATATGTTCTTAGGTGCTCAGCTTTTCTCTTGGTCAAACACTTCTTCCTTTTGCCCAAAGAAAATTTGGACATTTTCTCTACAAAAAAGATAAAGGATAAATAAAAGTAACTTTACCCAAATAAAGTTCATAACGATATTAAACTTACTTATAGATTTGTCTATGTCACTTTCATCCCCCCCGATCCAAAATGATCATGGTAAGGGAACTTATGACCTTGAATTCATCCAAGATTTGAACTACCTCAATCTCATCGAACGTGAGGTAGTCAAAGTCTTACATCGTGATTGCCACTAGATTATCTATCAAAACTAGAGGAAAGCGATGGGCGTCATTCGTCTCAATTGTGACCATAAAGGTGCATCTTTCCCTATAACTCTCACAAAGTTGTCTTTCTAATTTTTGTAATGATCAAAATATGGTTTGAGCAGGGCTCTTCCAGCAATGTACTTAAGGTCACCCAGCCGCCTATAATACTCGTCTTGATACCATAGAAGGAATATATAATTTATATGGTATGATGAGCCTCCAACCGTCGACATATGATTCTAAACACCCAAAAAAAGTTGTAGCCATTGGGTGAGATCTAGGACGAGGTAACATTAATACTCTTTAGAACCTCTACTTCAGACGGGGAAAAGGGAACTGGAACCCCTAGGTGGTCATATTGGCCATATATGTCGTAGAGCACGCCTCTAAAATAATATTTTCATTATCACATGAAGAGGAAAGGTTGACATGTTGCCAAAAGGAGAATAACTTTTACTCAATGATGTAATAGATCTCAAAATCTTCGATGCCCTTATGCTCAAAATTAGAGGCAACCATTAGCTTTTTGCTTCTTGATAAAAAAAAAAGGAAAAGTTAATCACTATCGCTACCACTACAATCATTACTATTGGAACTAATATAACTCTCGCAAATACTAAACATGCATAGCTTTATTAATTTGTAGTAAATTGTCCCATTATGACGTTTGGAGTTTATATAGTAGTAATTCCACATTGTTATACACACATTGCAAGTGAAAGGCTCTACTATGTTGCAACTTTCGTCTAAATCCCTAATTGTCACCATAAATAGGAAAAGGGAGAAGAAATGGTAATAGATTTGTACCTGCAAATTGGGGTACTGGGAACTTAATCTTGATAAGAGTGATTGGAAAGGATTCTCTTGAGGGATTCTGAGGAAACATTCAAGAACTTCAAATATGAGAATGTGTGAAAGAGTATAAGGGTTAAGACTAAACCCCTTTAATAGAGGTTTAAAGTCTAGTCGTAAGGGTGATCAAGGGTTTCTCTCTAGGTTCCCCAACACTCGTGAAAGTTTCTTCATTTTTCTGACACGTGTGAGAACTTAAGGCCAATTTGGATTTCCAAGACTAAATCATCATTAATCACATTTAATGTAGAATGTGTGTTCCACTTTAATTAACGTTTGGAGATTTCCCTTAATTAGAGTTTGAGGATTCATCTCATTGACACCTAAAAGTCTACCCCCCCTGTAACGCCCCATATTGCTTTTAGGATTACCGACTGACCCCACAAACCAACACGGGTCTTTTCAGCATGCTTTGTCCTCAATCACACGCTTTCCAGGAAACTTCCCAGAAGGTCACCCATCCCAGAATTGCTCCAAGTCAAGCACGCTTAACTGTGGAGTTCTTATGAACGGGCTACCGAAAAGAAGATGCATCTTGTTGGTATAGGTAGTACCAATTAATCCTTATAAGCCTTCATTCAACCATGCAGTCCCATACCTGCATAGCCTCAGGATCCCTCTCATTCGGATGTGAATTCAGTTTTCTCCCAGAAGCTGCTAGGAGTGTCTCATTGTCATGCCTCATGACACCGACAACCACTCCCTCGCCCACGGGTGTTACATGTAACCACCGTCCTCTTTCACCTCAGGTGTTACATGCCCACCAGCTTCCGCTTGGTTCGTCCCCGAACCACATCGTACTGGGAGAGGTATGGCTCTGATACCAATTGTAACACCCCACTTTCCCGTATTAAATAAAATATAAATATTATAATAATAATCAGAGTTTCACCAAAAGTGGGATATCACATCTCCAAATTTTATAAAAACACTTTATTCATTCTTTTCAAAATAATACAGCGGAATTTGTTTAATAAAATAAAATACATCAAATTCATGATACGTAACACGGGATGTGGGTGTTTTAACTGTTTTATATCAAACTTATTGTAATCCTGTGACGTATCATGAATTTGATGTATTTTATTTTATTAAACAAATTCCGCTGTATTATTTTGAAAAGAATGAATAAAGTGTTTTTATAAAATTTGGAGATGTGATATCCCACTTTTGGTGAAACTCTGATTATTATTATAATATTTATATTTTATTTAATACGGGAAAGTGGGGTGTTACACCCCCCCCCCCCCCCCGCCATGTTTGGGAAACTCTCCCCATATATGCCTAGGGACTCGCCTCATATACACCATAGGGACTCGCCTTTGATATGCCTTAGGGACTCGCCTCAAGTACGCTTGGAGGACTCCTCCAACTGAGAATAGATGGTTAGGCTAAATCATTTTTCCATTTCCAAGCCTTTGTGCTTAACTGATTGTGTGCTAATATATTTGTAAAAGGCCCAATAGGCGACATATGAGGTTCTCTGAGAACAGGTGATGCACTATATCGCCATATTAGTTTCCTAGTTGCCCATTCATTAGATTGTCAACCCATTATTTGTAATGGTCACCATTTTATTCGAATACTCGCCTTTTATAGTGATGTGTCCCAACCCATAAAGGTATGGGATAGGAAGTCAAGAAGAGGAAGACACATTCTTCAAAGTAATCAAGGGAGTAATTACTTATTTCCCTTCGCTCCTAAAAGTAGGAAATGTCACTATGCTTTAAATGGAGCCTCAGACTCAGGCCTAAGATACTCCTATCAATATCTCAACCCTGAGGTTGAGAAGTATATTCAATTTTATCCATAAACACTAGTATACAAAGCTTATCAGAACCTTGCATTAGCTTGTTCTAACACCTTAACAACCCTAAAAACCTCTGACATCCCTACATCACAAGAGTGATAAGTCCAAGCTTTTGAGATTGGCATTAACTTTGGTAAAACTAACTTGATAACAAGCTATTAGACAACATGTCCTAACATGAAGAACAAACGGAAGAACAAGATGTTAGACAAGATATCTTATCATGATGATTCAACATCTTTGTCCGTTACTCTACAGTTTTGATACAACTAATTTATTTCCTTATTTCAAAATATTGTAGGAATATTTGTTTATCCTAGGTGGCGTTCAAGATTAAGAAATCAGAGATTCTGTTTGAATTTGAAGATGTCGTTTTCTAAGTGTGGAGACATTTTAGGAAACTTTAGATCGAAGAAACAATTCTTGAGGAGAATAAGTTGCAGATTTTGTGTAACATAATTACTGCATTTTTGAAGCTCAAATACAGTCTAGTTTATGGTTTTAAATAGGATGGATTTATCCTAATCAAAGTATGGAAAATACATTATTGCTTAGTGATTTTTAGGGTTTGTGTATTTGTGAGCCTCTCTTATATCATGTTGATACTAGAGCTGGATCGTTTGCATTGAGTTGTAATTTTTGTCACTGTTGTGATTGAAAGGGAATTGAGAAGGGTCTCATACCTAAGAGGTTCTTAGGTAAAAATTAAGCACGGGTTGTGATTAAGTGATAAGTTGTAAACTGGAGGTTGTTTAGCTTAGAATTAATAGTATCTAGTGGATTTCATTCTTGGCTTAATAACCCCCAGACATAGGTGTTGTTGTACATCGAACTGGGTTAACAATTATTGTGTGTTCGTTTACTTTCTGCAATTTTTATTGTGCTCATTCTTGTCATTGTGTTTAAAGCAGTGGTCAAGTGTCTCGACATCTCTTAGGACATCCGAGATCTGCATACCAGAATTTCAAAGAGGTTGTCACATATTCTACTTTTAACAAGTAAAAGACTCATAATTGATCCAAGAAACTTAAACACTAAAAAATTTGATGGTTCAAATCCAATTATCTATGAGGCCGTGAAAAGACCAATACACGAGTAAGGGTGGAAAAACAGG